CCAGGCCCTGTTTAGGGATCGTGCAGGAGGAAACCAATCAATGTGTTTCTCTCACATCAATGTTTCTCTCATGTCTTTCCCTCTCTCTTCCACTCTCCCAAAAAATCAATGGAAAAATATCCTCTCTCGCTCCCTCTGAAAAAAAAAAAATTAAAAAAATTTTTTTAATGGGCATAACAGTGCCCACCTCATGTTTCTGTGCAGATCAGATGAGGCAATGCATATTCAGACAGGAAGTGCTCAATGAACACCAGCAGTTACTACCACCACTGCCACTGCTGTGGTGAGGCGTGGCATGGGCCCGAGGTGGCCAGACTGAGGTGTCTACCTGACACAACCACGCCCCACTTGCTCCCTGGTAGTGCCAACCCAACACCCAGACCCAATGGGAGGACTTCATGTTTGGCACCCAGTGGTTTCAGACATTCGTGAGTGGGACTCCTGTAAGAACCCTGCAACCCCTGTTGCAGATGGAGAAACAGGCTCATGTGGTGACTCTGGCAAGAGGGGTTCCTAAAAGAGGCCAGGACCACGGCCTGCCTGCTCACGAGGAGCCGAGGAGGGGCCGGGGAAGGAGAGGAAGCCAAGGCTGTCAGCAGCCGACCACCACTGCCTCTTCTTTGAGGTGCAGCTTCCTGAGGGGCTGGAAGTGGAGGAGACGGGGTGCATGTGCAAGCATGCAGGGGTGCACACGTGCCCTTGTGTTTTCCTGTGTGCGCAGCTACTGAGGGGTCCATCTGGCAGGGGGGATGTTTTCACAACACGATGTGAGTTGCACATACACGTATCTGTTTCCTGAGGAAACTGGCTGGGAGGAAGGTACGTGCAAGCATACAGAGCTTCAGTGTGCAGACCCTGCGTCGGGGCTGTCCATTCTCTCTAGACCCTGGGAGGGAAGCACTAACTCCTCTGCCACACTACAGATGTCCAGGTGTTGCCCAGAGAGATACAGTCATTTGCTTAACGTCACACAGTGAGCAAGTGGCCAATTCATTTTACTTAATCACTTTTGGGGGTTCTGGGAGCAAGGACCCTTTCCACAACGGCTGCCCTAGAACTCTGCACATATGAAACTCTTAACTTAAGGCATAATTATCAACACGAAAGCCGAAACACCCCTCCCAGGCTGGTCCATAAAGGTTAACTGAGGTAGGAAGAGGATAAGCAATTTAATCAAGATCATATCACAATCCAAGTCAGGGCTGGCGCATATGACCTGGTAAGGCCAAGAGCTCAGGCCCTGGAGTCAGACCGACTTGGCTTCTAACCTGGGTTCTCTCATATGCTAGCAAGTTAGAACTTCTTTGGGCCTGATTCCTCTTCTGTAAGTGAGACTATTAAGCACCTCCTAAGGGTGCCATGAGGGTTAAGTGAAATCACCCATGTCTCATGCTCAGCATGACCTGGCCCCCTTTTTGAATGGACATTTGTTTTATTACGATTCTTAGCAGGTGGATGTGGGTCACTCTGGACTTGGATTGGGGTCTGTGCCCTGTGTGGACATGGGTGTGTTCCCCAACCCCTCACCACAGTGACGGCGTCATTGAGCAGGGACTCCCCAAAGACGAGGATATGTAGCAGCTCGTTGATGTGAATTTCCTCAAAGACAGCCAGCACGGCCACGGGGTCCACGGCCGAGATGATGCTGCCAAAGAGCAGGTTCGCCAGGAGGCCGATGTTGTTGATCTGCTCGCCACCCACCAGGCACACGGCGTACATGAGGCCGCCCAGGAAGAAGGCGTTCCACAGCGTGCCCACCACGGCGAAGATCAGGATGGTGCCCAGGTTCTCTGTGAACTGCCGCAACGGCAGGAAGTAGCCTGCGTCCAGGATGATGGGTGGCAGCAGGAAGAGGAAGAAGACGTCCGACTGTAGGATGGGGGGTGTCTCACCCACACCCTTGATCAGGCCCCCTACCAGCAGCCCCACCACGATCAGCAGGCAGCTCTCCGGGACGATGTTCGAGATTGTGGGAATCACATGGAAACCTGAGGAGGGCGAGAGAACGGGAGGCTGTGGCTTGTGGGGAGACGGAACAGAAGGTTGGGGACAGGGTGGGGAGGAGGAAGGAAGCTGGCCAGAGGGGTACAGGCTCGATCTCAGGGGCCGCTCTGTTAACTCTCTAATCTCAACTTCCTCGCTGTAAAATGGAGGTGATAATAACACAGGGTCCACAGGGTTGCTGTATAAGCTAAGTGAGAATGTTTTTAAAGTGCTTTTTTCAAAGGATATACAGATGCTATCTCTGTCACTGTCATAAGATAGCAGAAAGCCGTGGCTCTGTATGCCTCCAGAAGGCAGCAATTACATATCCATCACTGAGGCTCCAAGTACAAAGGCATTACCTAGGCCTGAACCCAAGCAATCCATCATCCGGACACAAGTTCAGGGAGGCAGGCTCAGGACCAGGCATAACAATCTGACAATTCTGTCTGAGGGAAGACACTGAGTTCCCCATCATGAAGGCGTTAAGCTGAAGCCAGACCACAGGTTGGTGGAGAAGTGACACAGGAGATAGAGGGAAGCACAGAAGAATCAAAGCGCATCAGCGCAGGATGGAGCGTGAGGATCGTGCCCTGCAGAATGCATGCGGCGACCTCCAATCCCAGATGTGCATGCTTTCCTGCGAGCCCAGATAGATGCTTAAGAGGCCAACAGCAATCCATCCGTTTTGCATGTGAGACAAAAACCTACTTGCCACCCTGTTCCGAGTCCAACCCCGCCTACTTTAAAGAGGGGACAACTGAGGCTCAAAAAGGGGAAAGGGCTTGCCCAAGGTCACAACAGCAAATGAGTAGCAGAGTCAGGACAAACTCCAGGGACAGACTCCCCAGCTCCCATTAAACTCTGCAGTTCTGTAAGTACCTGTCCAA